CTGGGTTTGAACCCACCACCTCCAGCATATAGGACTGGCGCCCTACCCTTTTGAGCCACAGACGACGCCCTGAGAGTTTAAAATTTTTAAGGCTAGGTGCAGTGGCTCATGCCTATAATCCTAGCAGTCTGGGAGGCCAAAGTGGGTGGATTGCTTAAGCTCATGGATTCCAGACCAGCCTGAGCAAAAGGAAGACTCTATCTCTACTAAAAATAGAAAAACTGAGGCAAGAGGATCACTTGAGCCCAAGAATTGGAGGTTGCTGTGAGCTATGACACTACAGCACTCTACCCAGGGCAATAACTTGAGACTTTGTTTCAAAAAAAAATTTTTTTTTACTAAACATTTTTTTATTCCCTAGTGTTCTAATCTGTGTCCAATTAAGGGATGGACACTACACAGTAATTTAAACAGGAAAGGTTAACATAAACAATGATAAAACAATGAAAGGACAGTAACTGCAAAGGGCGAGAGGGATCACCAAGGAAGGCAAAGTCAGAGGGGAGACCCTGTCCTCAAAGCAAGGGTGCACTTTGTTGGAAAATGTGCTGGTTGCCAGGCCAGAGCTGATCCACAGCTGTGACCCAGCAGGAAAACACCCCTGGGGACAGGCAATCAATCTGCCATGGCCCTGAGTGTCCCTGCAGGTTGTTGCTCTGTGAGCCAAGAATGCTTTACCAGCCATTTCTCAGAGCTGTGTTTGAGCCTGAGCCTAAGGGATGATGACACAGAACAGTCTCATTTCCACCCTCCATGAAAGCAGCGAAATCCTAAGCTCACTGTGAGCCTTCATCTAGGTCACCTGCATCACTGCAAGGAGCACAAACATGAAGCTCTGGGTGCTGATTTTGCCCTAAGTAGTCTCTGAACTATATCTTCATGTACTCGGCCAGCATGTATAAAACAATAATAATGCTCTAACTTGTTAGCTAGCAAGCAGGGTAAAATCCCAGGCCATTTGCAGTTCTTGGCACAATCCCATGGAACACAGGTGAACCAAGGCAGGTGTTGGGTACACAGAAGGCGCTGGGGTCCAATTGTGGGTCTGAGCCTGGATTGTGCAGTTCCTATATCAGAAAGGTCACAAGAAACAAGACTCCTGGGCACAGGAAAGCCAAGGCTAGTAGTGGACATACAGACAGTGTTGGGAGATGAAGTCCTGGTGTGGGCAGTGTCCATGTTAGGAGAACCAGGCAAAGGGGCCTCCAGGTCCAGGCCAGACTTTGGGGCTGCCCATCTCTAGACATTTGGCTGGAGCACAGTACCACCAGATGTACACATGCACAAGCACCACTGAGGGCATGATGTAGGACAAAAACAAAGCAAGACACGTTCCTCCAGAAGCAGGAATCTATACCTAGAGAGGTCTATCCACAGGACCCTTCCAGAGCCTGCCTTGTCACCAGTTTTCCAATCCTGTTCTTTCTAAGTTGCTGACCAACCAGATCATTAGCAACTGCCCATGAATTAATGCAGATCCCTGCTCGTGGCCACCTCTTGGTCCAAATGTAGTAGGCAATCCAGTATATTGCTCAAAATTCTGCCCACTCAGGGAGTGCTCTTCCCACTGTCCTTCAGGGTGATCCTTGAGTGGGGCTGCAGTGCGGTGACTGCCCACCTCAGTGGTACCAGTACCTGTGGCAGATCCACCTGTAAACCAGGCTCTAGCTTTTTTCTTCTGTGGTTTTAAGGTACACCCCAGGAGTCCACAGATGTACAGTAAGAGAAGAGAGGCAAGAAACAGGAGTTAGTGTCAAAGGAATCTGAGCCACCTTCTCATGCAATTTGCATCTTCAGATTTACCTCAGATCAGTCACACACATACCCAACTTCATGGCTGCATAGGTGAGATGGCACATGGGCCACATTCTTTTTTTTTTT